AAAATCAGAAAAGATTAATAGTTAAATTTTAATTTTTATCTTATATACTTCCTATGGGTTAATGCATATAGTTTAGTTGATGAATTTTTACTTAACGATTAAAATAAATGTTCTTTCTTTTTTTTAGGATTAGTGTTGGTGGCGGGGGGGGGGGGGGGGGTGAGTGGAGGGGTAAAAGGGCGGGTCTTAACAATTTTGCGTTACTTTCTCGTCATATAAGCATGTGAGCGTTTTCGAGCGTTAAGTTTGGACGACCAAAAACACTGCGTAAGTGGCAGTGTGCTCGCGGGCATTTCGATTGCGAAAAAACGTAACGTTTTGAAAGAGATGAGACTTTTCCTTATCTGAGATCCCCAAAGAACTTGCCAAATGAGCGACAACCTGGTATCAGATCGGTCGAACGCACTCCGTAATCTTTGATTTAATTGCAGTTCTCAGACCGCGGAAAAGTAAGCAATAATCTTTATTATCTCAACGTCGTTTTACCGTGATGTAATTTAGCCTCAATATGTACCCGTTTTTGACGGAATTGCGGTTCACTGTTTGTTCTAGCCTATGCGTCTGTTTCTAGGAGAGATTAAAACGTCGGTTGATTCACTACCCTTAATAAGTAGTATCCCTTCCGAATTCTTAGTAATTTGGGGGCATCTGGGAGCCGGGAACAAGTCAGTTAAGGGAAAGAAACACGAAAGATCCCAAAGCTAACGAACCGTTACTCTCACAAAGCCACTGAGTACTCAGATGTCTCCATCTACTGACCAAGCGCTTGTCGGGGTGGGGAGTGCATTTGCTCCCTTCCTACAACGCTCTGCATTCTCAGTACACACTGAAGACCTCTAGATTCGAGGACGAGATTTCACGCTTTTTTCGCGAAGAAAAAGGCAGCCAGAAAAGCATTAGTACGGTTGTTCGGATTTATTAAATTTATTTATTACTGTTATTATTTTTGGTAGGGGGATGGGGTGGGGTGAAAGGCGATTGAAAACAAAAATCGCACTTCAAGTCTTTTCAATGGAAAGCTGATTCCCGTAAACATTTAGTTGTTTTCCATAGAATGCTTTATGAGCAGCATGATCTCCTAAAAGCGAGGAGAATAATCTATTGTTTCTTGCCTAAAAGTCATTACAGCTTGAGTCTTTTTGTTCAGTGCCGCAGGAATCAGTTATTGGACCTATCGTCAGGGATTTTAAAAAAGACTCATTCAGAGAACATATCCACTGTTTCCTCCTTGTCAGCCTTGTTTGATTGCGTCGAATCGCTATTAGATTGAGCTTTCTCTATAAGTGAAATAACATCATCAGTGTCTTTTATTTCTTGAAATCTCCATGAGTAAAGCATAATCTTTGCATAGCTGTACCCTCCCATGTGGAGAAAATGCAGGGCATAGGGGGTGGGGGGTATGGCTTATAAACCGCAGATGATTGACTTGACACTTGAAACCTCTGTAACCTATAACTGTGAACAGACACTAAAGAAGTGAAATCTATTTGTGTTATACAAATGATGTTAGAGAGGAAGGAGACAGCTTCATGGCATCCAGCTCTTCAATGGTTTGTTGTAAGCACTTACCACTTATGAGCATCAACAGTTCGCACTTTTCTCTGTGCGAGGGTTTTGTTTGCACAAGGAGAAATTCTTCTACCTGTCAACTCTAATTGATTGGTTCTTTACACAAGTCATGCATTTATTATACTTAGTGAGTGTTTCTCCACTGTATTATCCTGTAGTGCATGTAAATATTGTGTTTATTCTTAACTTTATTGCCCCTCTAGTTGGTTGGGGAACTGACCAGCTGACCGGATTTGGAGAAGAGAGAGGGACCAAGCATCAAGTTATTAATCTAATACATTCAGTTAGGACTGTCATGAGAAGTAAGTTTACCTCTTGAAGCCCCAAGCATGAGCATCAATATAACGAAGGGCCAAGAGATGGGCAAAATTTATTCGCTATGAAGAGATGTTGTTATATTGAGATTCTTTTTCATATATTTTATTATTATTGGGGTAAAGAAAATTTTTTGTTATACCGAGGACTTCATTATAAAGAAGTTCGTTAAATCGAGGTTTCTCTGTACAGCCCAACTTCCATGTGCAACCACCTCTCCTAAGCCACTACCTCCTACACTGTACAACCAACCAGTTATCCATAAATTTAAATATTTTCTCAGTCACAGCCCTATAGTTGGAACCACAAATGACCACCTCTCATAAGCATCCACGACCAGTTTTAAAAATGACAGTTTTGGAATTTTCCATTGCTTTTAACCTCTTCTACATGTATTTTAGTGACCACCTGATGCAATGGTCTGATCTCTTTTTTCACTATATATACTACACTACTCAGAGTATGAGGGGTTACCTGTATCTTAATATATATTTTTAAAAACCTAGAAATCGCATGTAACAAATTCCCTTCAAACAGTAGATGAATCTGCACTTCACCTGAAATTTGACTCTTGTAAGCAAAACTACAGGTAAATCTTAATGCATTTTGGGTGGTCGCTTATGGTAGGTTTGACAGTGTTTTCTACTTTATTATTATTATTATTATTATTATTATTATTATTATTATTATTATTGTTATCATTATTATCATTATTATCAATATGAATGTGACTTTGGGCCATGTTGACTGTAGTTTGTTAGTTGTTGTTTGAATGTTTCGTTTCTCTATCTTTCCTGTTTCAGTTCCTCTTATACTGTTAAACTCTCTGACAATACTGTTACTGCTGCTGATGGGATAAGCTCATACAAAAATCAGAAGTTATAAACATTCCTGCTCACTGAAGATGCTCTGGATTAAAACTGGATTGAATTGTACAGTCCTCTTGAGATGGGGATAAATCATGGTCAAGACAACATGTGAACTGTAGAACCACTGCTACATTTGGCTGTTTTGGAGCAAGTAGTGTGTCAATGACACCACCCAAAGTGGTCCTATTGCAAATCTCTGTTTTTCAAACCATTTTCATACCCTGTTAATTAGAATTATGAATTAGGGTTATTGGTCAGGGCTGCATTGTTCCAAAGATGTTTGGAGCAAACCCAGCATGGAATTTTTATATGACAGTACTGAATCGGTATTGAATAAGTGCCGCCCTTGAATACAAATGTATGTTAGTGATGCAACCACCCTATAAAGAAGCAATGACTTCGAATAAGGGCNGAGGTTTTTTTTTGGGGGGGGGGGGGGGGGGGGGGCGGGGAAGGGGTAAAAGGGCGGGGCTTAACAATTTTGCGTTACTTTCTCGTCATATAAGCATGTGAGCGTTTTCGAGCGTTAAGTTTGGACGACCAAAAACACTGCGTAAGTGGCAGTGTGCTCGCGGGCATTTCGATTGCGAAAAAACGTAACGTTTTGAAAGAGATGAGACTTTTCCTTATCTGAGATCCCCAAAGAACTTGCCAAATGAGCGACAACCTGGTATCAGATCGGTCGAACGCACTCCGTAATCTTTGATTTAATTGCAGTTCTCAGACCGCGGAAAAGTAAGCAATAATCTTTATTATCTCAACGTCGTTTTACCGTGATGTAATTTAGCCTCAATATGTACCCGTTTTTGACGGAATTGCGGTTCACTGTTTGTTCTAGCCTATGCGTCTGTTTCTAGGAGAGATTAAAACGTCGGTTGATTCACTACCCTTAATAAGTAGTATCCCTTCCGAATTCTTAGTAATTTGGGGGCATCTGGGAGCCGGGAACAAGTCAGTTAAGGGAAAGAAACACGAAAGATCCCAAAGCTAACGAACCGTTACTCTCACAAAGCCACTGAGTACTCAGATGTCTCCATCTACTGACCAAGCGCTTGTCGGGGTGGGGAGTGCATTTGCTCCCTTCCTACAACGCTCTGCATTCTCAGTACACACTGAAGACCTCTAGATTCGAGGACGAGATTTCACGCTTTTTTCGCGAAGAAAAAGGCAGCCAGAAAAGCATTAGTACGGTTGTTCGGATTTATTAAATTTATTTATTACTGTTATTATTTTTGGTAGGGGGATGGGGTGGGGTGAAAGGCGATTGAAAACAAAAATCGCACTTCAAGTCTTTTCAATGGAAAGCTGATTCCCGTAAACATTTAGTTGTTTTCCATAGAATGCTTTATGAGCAGCATGATCTCCTAAAAGCGAGGAGAATAATCTATTGTTTCTTGCCTAAAAGTCATTACAGCTTGAGTCTTTTTGTTCAGTGCCGCAGGAATCAGTTATTGGACCTATCGTCAGGGATTTTAAAAAAGACTCATTCAGAGAACATATCCACTGTTTCCTCCTTGTCAGCCTTGTTTGATTGCGTCGAATCGCTATTAGATTGAGCTTTCTCTATAAGTGAAATAACATCATCAGTGTCTTTGTTGTGCGAAGTTTTCTCTTCAGCATGCACTGTTTTGGCTGCGACAAATCTCTTTGTAGTATCGTTTGTTACTTGAGCGGCTTGCGTAAATCTCTCACGCGTCTTAGCTCGTGCGTAACTTTTCCCGTCTGCATCATCAAGGCTTCGTTTTACTCCTGTGCCCAGTCCCCGTAGGCTGTCGCGCACCTCAACGATGACCTACATGGAGGAGAAGTGGGGCCAATATCAAGCAATGTAGTCAGTGAAACACAAACTTAAAGTACAGTAAAGCGGGCAACAAAAATGTGAAACTTGTTTTGCAACATTGCTGCAAAACGAATTGAATAGCGAGGTTGCGCGTTTTACCCCCTACGAAACAAACCTGTCTTGCAACAAACCAGGCTGTTGAAGGCTGCGAAAAGTTGTTGCAGAAAGAAGTTCTACTTTTTGAAACTTCCAACAACCTGAAACGTAATGACCTAAGTAATTTAAAGCCACGAATGCATGCTATTTATGCTGAGGGTGATAGAGATCGGAAAACCAATCCCAGCAATACCCAGTTAATACTCGCGAATTTCATCAATGGATATTCATCAGATGGCTCAATGCTAACCGGTTCCCGGCGCCCAGCTCCCTCTCGTCCCAGACCCTCTCCTTCGCTCCAGCCCATTTTTTCCAACATTTGGCGTCCAACATTATCTGTACTAATAGGTCTGAAATAAGAAGGAAAACTGATATCAATAATTACAACATTTCTCACGGTAACGAAAAAAGCGATTTTTATATTGGGAGGAGCCCGCCACGATGTGGGCACAGTTACCGACAGGACAAGGAGAGCAACACAAAGTAAATGTAGCCTGAAACATATCACTGTAATGCTTGCTATAGTTTTTCAATTATCACTTTCGTTACTGTGTGTCAGATTAAAAAATATAGTCCAAGACAATGGGAAAGAAAAATGACTAATTCTGGTTGAAGAAAAAGGAACAAATACAACGCAACTACAAAAAAAGTCGTGTCTTTCACATCGTATCTCCTCAAACCACGAGGATCCAAGCAATCGGTGAGTACATGCTGCTTTATGAAAAAAAAATGAACAAAAAGAAAGAAAGAAAAGTAAAAAACAATAAACAAACAAGTTGATCCACCTGTGAACGGATGCAGGGGCATCATCAGCAATCACTACAGGAACATCACTTCCGACCTTTGTACGTCTAAACGAAGAAGGAAAAACATAACCGTCAGCTTGTTAATGACGTGACATTAAATCGGAAAGAAAGTGGGAATGACACGAGGAGAAGCAAGAGGCCTGGAGAGAAAAAAAATCATGTGTCCTTGTCTTGAGTACTAGCTCACTTTTTTGTCGCATGTTCGTACGTCAAGGCCCACAATATACCTTTTTTTGCGCTTCACCATTCCTTACTTTTCCATTACCAGAGGTGCTCCTTTCTTCAAGGGAACGGGCGACCAGAGAAATGATCAACCACTTTTTCTCCTTCCTCAATTGCTACTAGCCAAATTAATTAACACGAAGAGAAAACTCTCCCCAGTTCTCAGTTCCCAGTAGCTTCCGATCGATCGCTTAAATCTATGGAAACTGGTTCCCGATCTCGCTCCGCGCTCGTCTTCAGTACCAGCCGCTCAGCCATGGAAAGCCTTTGGCGGGGGCGGGAGAAACGAATGACTGACTCCTATGCCCTACCTGACTTCTGCACGATCTTTGTATTTTCCAGTGACATCGACGGCTGGCTCGGTGTATGAGGATTCCTGAAAAAATAAATAAAAGTGTCATTTACCGATTCCAAACTTTATTTTTTTTTATTTTTGGATTTAGTTGACGTAGTATCATTAGTTGCTGTTGGAAGTTTTTGAAACGAGACCAAGAAGGTGAAATATACCAGAATAAGCAACTTGGCTCTGTGTTAGGATTGACCAACAATAGAGACAGTAAGAAATCTCCGACGACAAATTTTAAAATCAGTTCCTGGGCTGGAAGTTTCTCTGAACTGATGAAACTACTGATGCTGTCTATCAAGCCAGGTGCTACTCAAAACGCTGTGTCTAATAAGTTAAGTTACAATGTTTGATAAAAAGGTACATAAGTGACACTTATATATGTCATAATTACACCTCATTTCCCGAACGTCAACAGTGGTACTAATGCCACTTACCTCTAAAGCATACGCCTTTTTTATTCTTTTAAGTACTGACTTTCGTTGTTCTTGTATTGTTAACGAGTTGACTGGTTTACGTCCCTCCACTACCTTTGTTATGCACACTGTTAATTAAATTGTACACTAATCAACTGAATAGATTATGGGGATTGGGGAGAGAGTAGGGGTGAGAAAGCGAGAAGGTATACAATATTGGTAGGCCTACTCCCTAGTGATAATTAATTGAGACACTATTTTTTGTCTGGGGAGGGTGTCTCAGCACATGTGAAGGTTTATGGCTTCCCTCTTTTTTTCCACCACCCTCCCCCAATAGGGAGCTACGCAACCGCGACGGCGAAGTTAGTGTAAACGTCACTGAATTCGCGCTGTTGTAAACTTTTTTGAATTAACCCATTTCGTTTGTTTATCTCAAATGTAGGGCGCATTTTTCTTGTGTAAAATCCGTAGTGTCCGTATCCAAAACATTCGCTGGCGTTTTAACAGCTACGACCAAAATTGTAGCCTCGTCTGCGGTCTAACGCCGCCATCCGTCACAACTTCTGCCTCAGTGATTTTTTTCTTTTCAGG